GCTGGGTGGGCAGCTGCCCCCATGCGGGCGTCGGCCACGCTGGGCGTTGCGGCCGTGTGGCGGCAGCTGGCTGGGCCTCGTGGGCGTCACCAGCAGCTGTGTCTAAGCAAGGTGGGCGACGCTGGGCACGCGTGTCCATGCTCCTGCTCTCCTGCAAGGCAGGTGTCGGTCATCGGCCATGAGAGGCCCCTCCCCGTGGCCACCGCCTCCCGCTGCCCATTGCCACGGGGTGGAATCAGCAGTGGAAGTGCCACATAGGCATCGGCAGCGGGTGCTGGACGTGGATAGGCTTCAGGGCGGGGTGCCGGACGTGGACAGGCTTTGGGGCGGGGTGACGGAGGTGGACAGGCTTCGGGGCGGGGTGACAGAGGTGGGCAGACTTTGGGGCGGGGTGCTGGACGTGGACAGGCTTTGGGGCGGGGTGCTGGACGTGGACAGGCTTTGGGGCGAGGTGCTGGACGTGGACAGGCTTCGGGGCAGGGTGACGGAGGTGGACAGGCTTCGGGGCGGGGTGAGGCTTTGGGGTGGGTGCTGGACGTGGACAGGCTTTGGGACAGGGTGCTGGACATGGACAGGCTTCGGGGCGGAGTGATGCACGTGGACAGGCTTTGGGGCAAGGTGCTGGACGTGGACAGGCTTCGGGGCGGAGTGATGCACGTGGACAGGCTTCGGGGCGGGGTGACGGAGGTGGATAGGCTTCGGGGCGGGCGGGGTGCCGGACGTGGACAGGCTTCAGGGTGGCGTGCCGGACGTGGACAGGCTTCAGGGTGCCAGATGTGGACAGGCTTTGGTGGCAGTTGCTGGACGTGGACAGGCTTCGGTGGCGGGTGACAGACGTGGACAGGCTTCAGGGTGGGTGCTGGACGGGTTTGTTCAGCCAGGCGCCTGCCTGGCGTGTCAGAAGCTGCCGCCGCGTGGCTGGGCAGGCTTGTGGGGGGGGGCGTGGGCCAAGCTGGGGCCGGCGCCCCCACGCACAGTGTTTCCCTTGCAGGCTCCCCCGCAGACGTGGTGAGTTCCCCGGCGGCTTACTCGCGCCCACCGCCCCTCAGCTGGGTGCGCCCACCGCCTGCGTGGCGCACCGGGCCCACACCCAGTGTGCCCCAGAGGGAGGCCACAGACCCAGGCACAGGCGGGGGGGGCGGGGTCTTCCTGGAGGGGGTGGGTCCCTGGGAGCGGCTGGGTGCCCCAGCTGCGGAGGCGGGGTGCCTAGGGAACGGGCGCGGGGTCTGGCGGGAGAGCGTCAGCAACCCCGCGGTGTGCGCCCTCCCTCCCCGCTCCTGCCGGGCCTGTCTGGCCGTGGGCGCTGCTGTCCCTCATCACCGTCTGTCCTCGCCCTCGCAGGAAGCCTCTGGAGCCGGCCCAGGTGAGTCTGCGGGGCCCGGGGCCCCCGCTCCTGCAGGGCAGCCTCTGGGCACTGCCACCCGACCCCAGAGCCGGACACCCGGCGACTCGGTCCGGGCCTTGGGCAGCGTCTGTCCTCCCGGACAGGCGCGGAGCTGCAGCCCAGAGACCTCCGAGCAGAGGCCGTCGGGGCCGCGCGGTCGCCGCTGCCCCCCCCCCAGGCCGGAGGAGTGACAGGAGCCTGGCAGGTGCAGGGTGCAGCCCCCTGGCAGCCGGCGTGAAGCCCGCGCCTCTCAGAGGCAGAGCCCACAGCCGCGTGGCCGGGGCCCGCTGGGAGCCGCTGGGCTCTCCTGGGCTGGCCGCAGGCCTCTGGGGTCCGGCCAGCTCCCGTTCAGCCCTGGCTGCCCCAGTCAGCCATGGCTTGGGCCGGTCCCTGGTCCCGCTGGCCCCGCTCCCACCTCCCAGGCGAGGCCCCGCCTGGCCGCTGCGCCGTCCGTCTCAGGCAGGAAGGCGGTCGGAGCCCCAAGTCCAGGCCGGCTCGGGGTCGCAGGCCGCTTCTGTCCGTGGCCCCCCAGGGAGCCAAGGGACACAGAGCCGAGGGACAGCTGGGGGTGGGGCCCGCGGATGCGTCTGCAGCAGGGCGGTGGCCACGTCCAGCCCCCAGGGGTCAGCGCCGGGTAGGGAGCCGGCCAGAGGAGTCACCCCTGCCCCGGCCTCCGCAGGTCCCAAGATGGTGGCCGTCCAGAATTACCACGGGAACCCCGCCCCCCCCGGGAAGCCGGTGCTGGCTTTGCAGACTGGCGATGTGATCGAGCTCCTGAGAGGAGGCCCCGAGTCCCAGTGGTGGGAGGGGGAGGGGGCGGGGTCGGCCCCAGGAGAGGGGGTGGACAGTCGGCCCGAGGGACTCAAGGCTGTGGCCGCGGGGTCCGAGCCTGCCTTTGGGTGCTTTCACATGGTGGGAGCGCAGCCCCGCTGCAGACACTCCTTGGGGCCCCATCTGAGACCGCACCCCATGTGCCACCTCTCTGCCGGGCCGTGGGCCCATGCTCCACATGGTGGGGGTGCACCAGGACCCCCCACTCCTGGTTGGGGCCGCAGCCGGGGGTACAGGCTGCGTCGTCATGGCCAGTGCCTGAGCCGTGAAGCTTACGGTCCAGTGGCGAGGTCGGGCCCTCAGAGCCCACCGGCCAGCTGAGTATGGGGACTCGCGGCCCTCGGGGTCAGCCCAGCGCTGGGGCTCGGGGAGTGGCCAGCAGGGAGCCTCCTGCCAGCGAGGTTGCGTGGGCAGCACGGGTGACACCCCGCCAGGCCCACGGCGTGCTCCCTACAGGGCTTTCAGTGCTGGAGGTTGAGGGGTACAGGGGCCTCCCCTACAGTGTCCGCCCGCTGGCTCCCGCCCCGCCACTCCGGGAAGTGGCCGGGCCGTAGGCTTGGGGGTGGCGCCTTGGCCAGTGTGACGCTGCCTGGAGAGTGGGCTGGGACAGCCATGGGGGCCCCTGACAGTGTGGTGCCCCTTGCGGGGGAGAGCAGCAGCCCCAGAGGGGCGCCCGGGCTCGGCATCCTCACCCACGAAGCAGGGGTCCCTGCCCCGCTCCGCAGGCCTGCGGGGAGGTGACGCCCCTGTCTTGCCTCTGTCCTGGGGTGAGCAGCAGGTGCCCCCCGCCCTGCCCCGCGGGCCCTGAGCTCTTTCTGCCTCCAGGGCCGGCTGGTGCAGACCAGGAAGTCGGGCTACTTCCCGAGCGCGTCCGTGAAGCCCTGCCCGGTGGACGGACGGGTGAGTGCCCCCACGGGGGCTCTGTCTAGGGACCGGCCCCTCCCAGCCCTGTCCCGGCCAGACCGGAGCAGCCTCAGGCTCTGGGGCTGGGCGGGGCCTCCTGCCCAAGCCCCGCCCACAGACTGCTGGGGCGGGGCCTCCTGCCCAAGCCACGCCCACGGACTGCTGGGGCGGG